GCATCCCCAAGACCGGATTAGCCCGGGGAGGAGCCAGCGCGTCTGGCCATGCAGCGGGTTGTGAGTGGCCGAGGTCCGATGGGAAACGAGGGCCGTGCCCCACCCCTGGCTGGGTTCCCGGCTCCTGCAGGGGCCAAGCCCTCGCACTAGGAGCCGCCGGGCCCAGGGATCTGACCCCAGAGGGTTTGGAGAAGTCCCCAGCACCCCGTGACTCACCCATGTCGTTCAGCCAGTAGGCGATCTTCCTGTAGACGTCGTCGCAGGCGGTGACGATGCCGATGGGAAACGAGGGCCGTGCCCCACCCCTGGCTGGGTTCCCGGCTCCTGCAGGGGCCAAGCCCTCGCACTAGGAGCCGCCGGGCCCAGGGATCTGACCCCAGAGGGTTTGGAGAAGTCCCCAGCACCCCGTGACTCACCCATGTCGTTCAGCCAGTAGGCGATCTTCCTGTAGACGTCGTCGCAGGCGGTGACGATGAGGGCCAAGGCGATCTTGGGCAGGAAGCGGATGAGCCGGGGCAGCTCCTTAATACTCAACACAAGCTCCTGCAGGGACACAAGGGGCAGGGTTGTACGGGTTGCTGTGCCCACCTCCGCCCCTGAGCAGACACCCCACGGCTCAGCCACCAGGGTCCACCTGGGGCAGGAGCCTGTTTTCAGGAGTGGCCACTGCTGGGCAACTGCCCCAGCCTCTTTAGAATCCAGCTCCTGGCCTCCATGGTTTCATGTGGCAAGGAGTTCCACAGATTCTCTGTGCTGTCGTCCCAGGAGCTAGGGAGTCAGAAGGGCGCGGAGGGAGCCCCAGAGCGGGTGGTAACTAGCCTGCCCAGATGGCGCCGGCCCCTGGCTCTGCCCAGCCCAAGTGTGAGGAGCGGGGACCCGGAACAGCTGCTCCCAAGCAGGGCGTGGGGCTGGCGCAACGGCGGACGCAGAGGAAGGGGAGGCTCAGCCACAGAGCGCCCCCGTCTCCCCCCACCGCCCCCCCGGCACGATGGGATTTAACTTGCACCCGCGTGTGCAGACACCCTCCCACGCCCAGGAAACTACTCCCAGCCGCACGCACACACCCGTGCACACACGCACACAGGCGTGCAAACAGCTTCCTGTCTCCTCTCGCCCTGCCCCACTCCAGGAATGTCGGCCTCCTGCCACGGGCCACCCCAGGATGGAACCAGGGCTTGGTGCATCCCCCTGGCGGGGGGCAGAGGGGGGAGAATGGGATTCAGCGCCCCCTGCTGGCGAACTACTCCCAGCCGCACGCACACACCCGTGCACACACGCACACAGGCGTGCAAACAGCTTCCTGTCTCCTCTCGCCCTGCCCCACTCCAGGAATGTCGGCCTCCTGCCACGGGCCACCCCAGGATGGAACCAGGGCTTGGTGCATCCCCCTGGCGGGGGGCAGAGGGGGGAGAATGGGATTCAGCGCCCCCTGCTGGCGGGAGGAGAGGTGCCTGGCTGCGGCCAGAGGGGCTGGGCCGGGGCAGGGGGCAGCGTC